ATATAAAATAATTTTTCATGAATTATTTGTTTAACGTTCGAATAATTGTTGGTTCTTAGAAGGACCGATTGTTTATAATGTGGGGAGGAGAGGGGGGATTTTATTTTTTTGTGAAGAAGTCAGAGATGCTGAATTGCTTCAAACTGGCAACTTCCTCTTTTGTTGCAAATTTATCGAGTTTGCTGAGAGCCACAAAAATTTCTTCATTCACATCTAAGCGTGATTCAGTAAACACTCTAAATTTTGCAAGACATTCCAAAGCTTCAGTGGAAAATGAATCTACTGGAAATGGCTCTTGATTTTCTCCTTCTTCTTCATCGGGTAACTATTGAGCCATTTTCTCCTTGACTTCTTCTAAAATTTCGGAGTCCGTAAGCTCTCCGCAAATAGCTACGTCTTCGTCGATCCTCACGTACTCCTCATCCGACTTCGGTTCTTCAAGTAGGCTTTCTTCGGCGATGACGGCGTTCTCTTTTGCAACAGGAAATCTTGCTTTTTTAAATCCATTCCTAATTGTTTGTGCACTAACTTCTCGCCACGCTTCCGTACACATCGTTAAAGCTTACAAAACGTTGATTTTCACCTGAATTCTGCTCGATGTTGCATTTTCATTGAAGACGTTGCGCACTAAAATGGACCGATAGTACGAGGGTGGTCAGATAAGTACTTAACCTACAAAAGAAAAACGAAAATTTTGGAAAAGTGGCGTTTTATTTTTCAACATAGTCTCCTTTTAGTTCGATACACTTGGCCCAGCGATGCTCCAACTTCTTTAACCCGTCTGAAAAATACGTTTCCTCGAAGTCTGAAAAGTAAGCTTCCGTGGCAGCGATTACCTCCTCATTCGGCTCAAATTTCTGCCCGGCGAGTGACTTTTTCAAGTTTGGAAACAAAAAGAAGTCGCACGAGGCTAAATCTGGAGAATACGGTGGATGGGGCAGCAGTTCGTAGCCTAATTCGACCAATTTGGCCATGGCGACGGCGGAGGTGTGATCCGGTGCGTTGTCATCGTGAAAGAGCACTTTTTTCTTCGCCAAATGGGGCCGTTTTTTCTGCAATTCGACGTCGAATCGGCCCAATAATTTGCTATAGTACAGCCCTGTGACCGTTTTGCCCCTTTCCAGGTAGTCGATGTAGATCATACCTTGTGAATCCCAGAAAACGGTGGCCATCACCTTTCCGGCCGATGGGGCAGTCTTCGCCTTCTTCGGAGCACTTTCGCCGGGTAAAGTCCACTGTTTCGACTGTTCCTTGGTCTCCGGTGTATACCAGTGGATCCATGTCTAGTCGACTGTCACGAAAGGACGCAGAAACTCCTTCGGATTGCTTAAACAGCGTCAGACATTGCTCTGAGGTTGTCTCACGGTTGCGCTTGTTGTCCGGAGTGAGCAAACTCTCGACATCTTTTTCTACTCTGATTCGTCTGAGAATTCGAATAATTTTGAATAATTGTATCCTTATTTTTCAGATAAGTGGAAAGAGTATTTCGAGGAATTCCGAAATCAGCAGCAATTTCCGACTTTTTCTTCACCCCTTTTTGAACTTCTCTAATCACAGTAACTTTTTTTAGATGATGTGCTCAGCATACAAGTCATTTTGTAACTGACAAAAACACAAAGAACGTAGATAGAACGAAGATAAAAACTGAATTTAGACACGTACTCAACGAAAAACCGATGAAGACTGTTGCCTCTGCAGATTTTCGATTTCCTTTTAACGGTTCGAAGAACGGTGACTGCGATTGGTGTGGGGGAGGCAAAGAAAACCAGCATACGAGGTCTGTCCGGAAAGTATCGGGCCTACGTTTATATCTTCGCGCCATAGTGTTCGAGCAACCTCTACCGGACAGAAACGTCAACAGTAGAGCCTCACGAATCTATTGGTTACTTACTGACACCTGCCGGACGTATAGTTCATGCGCAGCGTGTCTTTGTTTACAGTGCCTTTTTCGCGTTCGTCGGATTTTGATATTGTCAAATATAACTGAAAAATAAGATCAACGAATTTGCATCAAATTTTGCTTTCAACTCGGAAAAAACGAGTTCGGAAACTATTGAAATGATGCAAAAGGCCTTCGGAAGCGAGTGTATGAGCAAAACACGAATAAAATAATGGTATAAACGGTTCAAGGATGATCGCACTTCTGTCAATAGTGATTCTCGACGACAAAAACCGCAGATAATATTGAGCGGGTGCGACTTGCAATCGAACAAGATCGTCGCATGACTGTGCGAGAACTAGAAGAAGACCTTGGGATACCAAAACCTATCATTTCAGAAATTTTAACCGAAAATTTAGAAATGAAACACGTGTGTGCGAAATTCATCCCAAAATTGCTCACAGCAGAGCAGAAGAACATTTGCTTAGAAATCGCTCTGAACAATCTGGAAATGGTCAATAATGATGATAATGTGCTTAGAAAAGTTATTACAGGTGATGAATCATGGGTTTATAGTTATGATCCTGAAACAAAACAACAATCTTCACAGTGGAAGCATTCTGAATCGCCAAGACCAAAAAAAGCACGTGAAAGTCAGAGCAATGTTAAGTCAATGTTGATTGTTTTTTTCGATTGTGAAGGTGTTGTACATCACGAATATGCACCAACAGGTCAGACAATCAATAAAGAATACTACGTTCAAATTTTGAAACGTTTGCGCGATGCAGTAAGAAGAAAACGGCCGCACTTTTGGGAAAGTGGTGACTGGCTTCTCCATCACGATAATGCGCCAGCGCATTCATCTAATCTTGTGCAGCAGTTTTTGAGCAAACACAATATCGCATTGCTTCGACAACCTCCATACAGTCCCGACATAGTCCTTGTGACTTTTGGCTGTTTCTAAAACTAAAAAAACCACTCAAAGGACATCGATTCGATGACAAAACAACAGTTGAAAACAATGCGACGAGTGCACTTAAGGCTATCCCTAAAAGCGAGTTCCAGGACTGTTTTAAAAAGTGGAAACATCGATGGAACCGTGTTATTCAATCAAATGGGGATTACTTTAAAGGATGCCACCCACCAGATGATAAAGAATAACGCTAGCACGAAAATATAAAGGTAGGCCCGATACTTTCCGGACAGATCTCGAATACCATGCAATAAAAATTTCAGTCATTCCAGCGATGACAAGTATGTATGTATGTAGAGCGAAGTGAGTAATAAAATCGGCACAACAGTTTCGGGTAAAAACCGTGCGCCACCTGAGCATCGCAATTATGTCCCGCGAGTTTGTGGGAAATCCAAAGAATCGTCTATGCTCCAAAGTACGTGTGAGTAAATGCCATAATAAAAGAAAGACATGTAGGGCAATAAAGTTAGGGCGACAGTCGTTGGGAAGAAACCCAGGGAAAGCCCAGAGACTATCTGCGCCCTATTCACGTTTAAAGCCTATGCAAAATTATGATCTCGAATTCGTAAAGTTCGAGTTAGGGAGGTTTGAGTTTGAGTTATAGAGATTTTTTTACATGTGTGAGTATTGAAATGTCAAGGGACTAGGGCAAGAGTTCGACTTAGAGAGGAATTCGAGTTATGGGTGTTCGAGTTATGGAGGTTCGACTGTACTTAGTTCCCCTTGCCTCTCATTTCCGGGTGCTTTTTAATAGTGAGTTCCCCTTGCCTCTCACTTCGGAGTACTTTTTAATAGTGAGTTCTCCTTGCCTTTCACGTATATAAATTGACAACAGATGTTTAAATTGTTCTCCATTCGCTTTTTGACAGTAACCAATCCTATTGTAGAATGATTGAGTTGCATTTTGGATCATCTGCCGTGGAATGGCATTAATTTCTTGAACTATTCTACGTCTTAATTCTTCAAGATTTTGTGGATTACTTCTGTATACGCGATTTTTTAAATACCCCCACAAAAAATAGTCCAAATGGCTCAAATCTGAAGATCTTGGAGCCCACTCTACTGCACCTTTTCTACCTATCTATCTATCAAAAAATGTTTCATTAAGGTATTCTCTGACATTTTCACCGTAATGAGCTGGAGCACCATCTTGCTGAAACCATGTATTTTCAAAATCATCACCTCTTAAGGCCTGGATAGCTAGAACAATTTGATTTCACAAAAGTAGTTCATAACTTACAGCGTTCAAATTTCCTTCGATAAAAAAGTGACCAATTATTGTATCGCCTACTATTCCTGTCCACACGTTTAATGTTTTAGGATATTGAGTATGACATTCTCTCATCCAATGAGGATTTGTGTTGGACCAATATCTAAAGTTATGACGATTGACTTCATCATTTAATTAAAATGTCGCTTCATTTCAAAAACAATATTTTGTAAAAATCTAGAGGCTGTTTGAAGCCGGCGTCGATGACAAGGCCAAAATCGCTATTCTTCTTAACGGAAAAGCCGTACAAAATCAGCAAGGCCTCAAAAGCCGTGCATCAATCGACACGTGTTCGCGGCTTCGAGTTGAACAGCTAATTATCGGTGTTCCCTCTCTTACTTCTGATTGCTCATGACGCCCTCAGCGCGACGTATATATTAGGGCATATCGCTCTCTCTCTCTTTCTCTCTAATGCGACTCTCTGTTGCTCTCTCTCTCTCTCCCTCACCTTTTGGCTGTGTCGGCTGCTGCTACGTTGGATACCTATATAATTGCATATTAAGGATATTGACATAATTTATATAAATGATACGGATTATATGAAGGTAGAGAGAGATGTAACGAGTTTAGGTATGAACTCTTTATACTTTGTATATTACTTGATTGAACTTTTTGCAGTTGAGATAAGAAAAGCTCGATTTACTTGGGCGAATGCACAGATAGATGCTAAATCTTTGTTGTGAATAATTTCTTTATGACTACCTAATCTTATTTTCAATAATTAAATTTTTAAAAATGACTCTAAAATTTAGTGTGTTTTTTCTGATAACGCTAATGAATTAAAAATAGTAAATCGTTATCAGTGAATATGTTATTTTATTGTTGTAAAACGGTATTTAAATTGCAATTAAAATATAATATAATAATCAAGTCCTCACCAGTGGGCATGGCACTAAGATAAACGACATCCAAAATCGTTATTCTGAATGTTCTATTTCTTGTCGTTGAAACATCAGAAATATATGCGAAACAAGATGCAAAAATTGAAATATCGCCTCCAAGTAAGCCCATCGGAAGAGTAGCAGTATATGTAATCATATTTAAACTCCAATGTGGTATAACTGAGTTGATTATAATCATAAAAGAATATATAAATTTTCCAATTAGTCCGATAATTAATGGTAATTTTCTCCCATAACGGTCACTCCAATTACCAATAAACATAGCTAAAATAATCGGAATAGTATGACCAGCAATATTATTCCATTGATGAAATTCTGAAACAATAACCTGAAAAAGTTTGAAGCTGATTAATTAAAATTTTTCAATATGAATAAAATATCATTTATTTTAATAAAAAATGAATAAGAAAAATAGACAGAATATCAAATCAGACTATTGAATGACTATAATTTAATTATTCTGTTATAAAAACCTGATAAAAATCAGCAAAAATGAATACTAAATATTCAGGATGTCCTATTTTAAAGGAACCACACCGAAATTTTCTACGGTTGGCGTTCTACAAAAAATTGTTCAGACAAAAGTTGTTTGGGACAATGAAGGACATCTTCCCTAGTAAATCGGATTTGACCTAGAGATTTATTTTCAAGGTCATTTGAAGGTCAAAGTCATTTGAAGGTCAGAGTCATTTTTTGAAAAGGAACCTAAAAATTTTGATCCCGGATTCGGAAAGAGTGAGAAATTCTACGTTCAGATAAGGTATTATGTGTAGGGTGTAGCAACCTCCCCACCCCTCGCGTAAGGTCATGTAGGGGTCAAATTGATTATTTTCTTCATCTACGCACAAGGATGATCGGGTAAGGGTAAGAATAATTGTAATAACCAAATAACTTGCTGGTAATATCTTACCCCCCAACCCAATAACTAGACGGTAATATCTTGCTGCAGCACGATATCAGCTTTGACCGTCAAAATTACCCGGGGTGGCTTCGGCACCTAAACCACCTAAGAATCTGAATGATTTGACGTAGAGAGAGACGTCAACCACAAATACGCCCCGAGAGACAACAGAATGTCAAAAATTAGGAAGTTTACACTCTCTTTGCATATTGGATAGATTGGTTCACGTTACTAAATGTGACACGAAGACACAATGATTAAATGAAAAACGACCTTGATAATCGAACTTTTATTTATCTTGGGTATTGGGGTATTTTTTTTTTTTTTTACAAGGAGTTGCGGAATCCTTTTTGCGGATTACCCTTAGCCTTCCTGACTGAGGGGTTATGTGGAACTCCCCGAAAAAAAAATAGGCCTACCCACTAAACCGCCATCTCCTTGGTGTCCTTCCCCCCAGCCAGGGACTATGTTGATATTACTTCTGACTAGAGGTTCTGTCTGTGTTCGTCCGTTCGTGTCGTTCCTCCGTAACTCGTTACGTCGCATCACTTCGTCTGCTCAGTCATCTGTCAGACAGCCATCCGCGTTCTTACATCTCAGTATAGATTCCGTATAGGTAGAGACTAAGCGCCACCATTCGGGTTCACGCAGCATCAGAGCCACGATGTTATCGGGGGTGATGCGGCCGACCGTTTCTTCCAGTTCCTGTCTGAGTCTTGTCCAGCGGTCACACGCGAAAAACGTGTATTCCGCGTCGTCTCGTTCGTGTCCACAGTACTTACAGTCGGGTGTTCGTAGTCTGTTCATATTGTAAAGGTACCGTCGGAAGTACCCGTACCCCGTCAGGAGCTGGGTGACGTAGAAATTTACATCACCAAATTTCCTTCCGAGCCAGAGCCTCAAGTCCCGTATCAATCGTCTCGTCCAGTTACCACCTCGTTCCTCTGTCCATCGGCCTTGCCAAATGTCAATTGTCCTGTCACGCTCAACGATTGCCGCACTCTTTCGTCCTATGTCCGCGCTGCTCCCGTAGATCCTTTTGCATTCAAAGGCCAGAAGATCCACGGGTATTACGCCAGCCACCACCAAAACAGCCTGCGCAGAGACTGTTCGGTAGGAGCAAGCGATACGCAGTGCGCCCTGTCTCTGTACCATCATCATCGTCTTACAGTATTTTTTTGTTTTCAGGGAGTCTGCCCATATCTCCGCGCCGTATAGAAGGATCGAGTGAGCTGTCGCCATTAACAGTCGTCGTTTTCCCGATCTCGGTCCCGTCGTATTTGCCATCAAGCGACTCAAGGATGCTATCCTCTCTGCCGCTTTCCGGGTTGTTTTCTGTATATGAGGCCAGAAGGTCATCTTCGTATATCGAGGGTTACCCCAAGGTACTTGACTTCCCTCTTGGTCTCCATCTCGCATGTCCCCACCCTAATGTGCAGTATCGTCTGTATGCGTCTTCTCGTGAGAAACATCAGTTCCGTTTTTTCCGTTGCGAGTTGTAGTCCGTGGTCTGTCATCCATCGTCCGACTCGTCTCATGGTCTGGTTCAACGCCAGCTGCGCCAGATCGGGGGATTTCTCCTTAACCACCGCCGCCACGTCATCAGCGTAAGCGACGAGGGTCACTCCGAGCGACATCCCAAGCCGAAGCAAGCTATCGCATAAGCCATTCCCGAAGTCAGGTCCCAGTATCGACCCCTGTGCTACCCCAGCGGTGACCTGTCTCGTTACTTGTCCTTCGATCGTCTCGTACGTTATCCGTCTATTTGTTAGGTAATCCTCCACAACCCGAAGCAGGTATGGCTGGATCCCGAAGTTGCTTTTCAGCGCCACCAAGATATCCTTTCACCTGGCCGAATTGAAAGCATTCCTAATGTCGAGCGTCGCCAGCAACACTATAAGTCGCGCAGCGTGGGAGTGTCTGTCTAGTTCCAGGAAAGAATCGACCACCTTTTGGATCGCTCCAATCGTCGACCGACCCCTCCTGAAGCCGAATTGCAAATCTGAGAGACCCCCTCCGGCCTGTATCGATTATTATTATTATTATTATTATTATTATTATTATTATTATTATTAACCTCACCCTTGCCCCGGTGGGATATAAGCAGAGGTTTTCCGTACCCCACACATAATACCTTACATGAACGTAGAATTCCCGCTCTTTCCGAATCCATGATAAAAAATGGGGGTTCTTATTAAAAAAAATCACACGGTTATTTGGTTATTGGGGTGAATGGGGTTGGTTTATTTGGTTATTTGAGTTTTTGGGTTATTAAAGTTAATCTTACGCTTGCCCGATCATACCTATGCATAGATGAAGAAAATAATGAATTTGACCCCTACAACACCTTACGCGGGAGGGGGGGTTAACCGCACTCCACACATAATACCTTATCCGAACGAAAAATTTCTTGCTCTTTCCGAAATTGGGAGCAAAATTGTAGGTTCCTGTTTAAAAAATGACTTTGACCTTCAAATGACTTTGACCTTCAAATGACCTTGAAAATAAATCTCTAGGTCAATTCCGATTTCTGGAAAAGGTGTCCCTCATTGTCCCAAACAACTTTTATCTGAACATTTTTTTTTTTAAATGCCAACCGTAGAAAATTTCGGGGTGGTTCCTTTAAAATGGGTCATCCTGTATATTTTAAATATAACCTCAACTTCAAATGAATTAAAATCATATTATAACCAAGATATATAACATAGATCGTTATTTTATTAACGAATTTTCACGAGAGAAAAATATTTTTTATAATGAAGTTCTTACAGTGTTATATAAAATATGTAATGACATAGTACGGTAACTGATCACTAGAGGGACATCCGATAGAATAGAACTCAAAGAGAGGCTAGATAGTCGGGAACGATTCCTCTCATATCGTACATTTTACCAAGTTTTAGGGAGTTGATCCTTTGACTTCATCCTTGATGAGTGATGTCTAAAACACTCTCTAGTTGCACTAGTTTTCTATATAGTTTCCTAATATATTGATGCACTTTATTACTTCCACCATTTTTTTAGTTCGCGACTGTGGACTAATTTTCACTATAGTAACTGCCTCAAGGTCACCTTTCGAGAACTTACACTCAGTTTGTAGTTTATTCAGGACCTAGTGCATCTTCCCAACTATATCATCTATTTTTTTATTCATGTAATATCTATGTAATTTCTAGTGGTACATCAACTTGTGGACCATTGCTTGCTTGTAACTGAAAGAAATTCAGGTTTTACCTTTTGCGGGCTATAATACAGAGCTACATATGTGAGATTGGTGTTTTCTCTGTATATGATATTTTGTCGGTGATAACAACCAGTGTGTCGGTTCCATCACATCGTCCTTTTTAATTTGATGCTATGGGTGAGATTAGAGTTTCTTGTCTTCCGCTTGCTATTATTTAACTCATTATACGTCGGGGTGAGTCACGCTGGGTGCTTTTCTTGCGCCGTACAGGGACATTGCTAGCATTCGTCATATGATTAAAATATTCCGCCAAATAATTCTACGCTAACCATTTCGTATGTCTGACTGTCATCAGTAATCGTGAATAATTGTTATAGAGCTCTAATAATTCAAAATGGTCAATAATCTGGTTACTTATTAGTCTTAGATTCACTCATTAAGATTTTGCCCGATACTTTCCCATGATATTTAGATAGAACAAAATAGGTGATCTACCTTGATGTTGAAAATTCACTCGTAGAATGTTTTCCTAATATTTTTAGGTGCTATAGACTGTCTTTCTCAAAAGTCTGTCTGATTTATTTCTCGTTTTATACAAGGTAGAAGATACGTTGGGCAGTTTATCATTAAATTTATTAGTTACCCTGTATAACGTTCTAGCTTAATATTTTTGATACCGCTTTGATTTTATACATAAACACTCACACACACACACATCTATATACACATATATATGTATATATATGTATGTGTATGTGTACATATAACATAAACACACATATATACATAAATGTAAAGGGTGTTCCACGTTAACCCGGACAGTAGGATAAATCAAAACTTTGCAAAATATTCCAAAAATAGTTAAAATAAAAGTTATATGGTTGAAAGATGGTCAACCCGGGATGACCTCAAACTTGACCTTGATCTTAATCCAGGGTTAACTTTGTTTTTATGTTGTGATATAAGTTATTTTCCTCTACATCGTTCAAGCGTGTGTTGGGCTGTTTCTTGGTTCATTCTCATCTAAGCAGTCAAGGAGCCTGACTCACAACTGGCTGCTTATCTCAGTAATAAGTTACTCACATAGCTTAAAATTCCTGACTCTGACTGCTTTAGTTCAGTGCTTAAGTTTTCCCACCAATTACAAGATCTTACAGCCTCTTGGGAAGGTTAAGCGCTGACGCAATGTGTGTACGCGAGTGCATCAATTTATAATTCACTTAAGTAAGCAAGCTCGTCTAAA